ACGAATTTCGGGGACTGTGACTACGACCGCGCTCACCAGAAATCATTGACATTAACTCTGCACGATCAGCGCGGCGCTCAGCGGCATGGCATTCACGATCTGCCTCCTGCAAGCGGTTGCGAAGGCCCTCGATGGTGGCTTGTGCATCTCGAATTTGCTGTGACATCGTGAGGAGTTGCGTGGTGTGCATGGCTCTAGAGGCACGGTCATCCTCGCGTGCAGTCTGAGTGGTGGGGTTGAGCGCAGAGGAGATGGTGGACAGGAGATCTTGCGCATCATTTCTGGATGTGCGTGAACGAGGAGGAGGGGGGATGACACGATCAACGACAGGGCGGCGTACAACAGGACCATTGGGCTCCTTTTTGACTTGTACAGCAGGGGTAGCCGTGCGGTTGGTATTGCGCACAGGTTGTGTGATAGCAGGAGTTCAAGGTGGAATGTTTTCATCTTCGTCTTCGTCATCACTAATAAATACCCAATTGAGTGACTGCGAAATGACCAGAACACTTATGCACACACCTGATTTCAATCGGGTCCTCGTACGCATCTACAATGTCAACATCATCTAACTCCCGTGTACCAGCTTTCTCATTGATCTGATCCTCGATGAAATGGGCACGTTCGATATGTGGTGGGCATTCCGCATCGCCTGTTGGTTTAGTGGTACGAACGAACTAAAGATGACAAATGTTAGCAATATTGTTAAAGAGTGAATAATTGACTTACCTGTTTGAATTTAGCCTCGAGTGATTTGGCAGTGCGCACAGGGCGGCTATTTTCCTCAGCCCATTGGGCGAATTCATCCGCAGCACTATTCCACGCGTGTCCACCAATAGGAAGTCGATCTTCGATAATGTCAAGCAAGGCGTCAACGTCTTCGGCGGAGTAGTTGGCGACCCCAGGACCTCGACCACGTCGTTTCTTGGTGTCAGGTTCCTCCACACGCATGACAGACCCTTTGCGCTTTGACGATCCAGCAACGGGGATCGGATCAACGGCCCTTTGCTTGCCTTTAGCGGACGTCAAGGGGCGACGGCTACCGGCAATTTTTGATGCTGGATGTGCGATACGTGGTAGGATTCGGCTCGGTGGTGGGAAGTCGTCTGGGCCATCGTTTGGAAGACTGATCAATGCAGGATCAATCTGAGGTAGGGTATTTGATGAGGCTGATGTCGACGATGGGTGCTGGCCAGGTGGAAACGGAGAGTCGTTGGGACCACAGGTAGGTCGAACGGAAAACTAAATGAGTGTGAGTAACGCGGAGAAATTTTCGTGACATAGACTTACTTGTCCCGTCGTATCCCGGACCATCAGATTGGTATTAATCTGAACACAAGTTAGATGTGAAAGAGGCTCCATAAACAACATAGTTTACATACCAAAGAGCCAGATGGACGTGGTGATGCGACACACTGCCAAGATCCATTGCCAGAGCGCGTGTACTTGAGCCCTGTTGCAGGATCAGACCAAGTTTGGAGAGCTTCAGATGACATGTTAGAGATGAAGAAAGGGGACTTCGAAATCTTGACTTGACGACAACCACATACCTCACTTTTTATAGCACATCTGCCAGCAAGCTTAGATCTCCCACAACATTGAAATCTCTTGTTTATGCAGGAGCCACTGTGCCAAGTCAGTCAGTCAGAGACCAGGAATCAAGGTTAACACTCACCCACTCACTCAGGTCGACAAAAAAGACCACAGGTACCATTTATCTTGTGCAAATTTGCAAAGCTGGAAGCTGATCAATGAAGGTACACCAAGTCAATGGAATGCAAATCTACCTTAGTATCCTTCAACATGCATTGCCCAGGTCCACGTTGAATAACACGTAGCACTTTCACTGTGATTGGAACGATGACAGAGATGAATTGGGGCAAGAGCAGGGAACGTGTACCGCTTACCAACATAACAGCTGATATACACATGGTCAAACAAACAACAGAACCAGCGCTTAGAAGCTGCGTGCTCGGTGCTGAGGCGTGCTGAGCACTCGGCGCGTAGAGAGTGGTAAGTTATGGTAAATCTTATCAGTGGAATTCCAATGTCGCGGACATTGAAATTCAGCTCGGAAATGTCTGAAGACGAGTCTGGAGCTGGAAGGGGGGGGTAGAGGCCTCATCCAGATTCAAATCTGGAAGAAGGTTGGATTGAACGCCCATCCATTCAAGAAATATATTTGATGGGACCTGCACATCGGCATCTCGGCTGAG